TAGTGTGCATACACAACAGAGTTCATGGTCAATCTGTGGCAAGCTGCTTCACTCTGCGTACTTTAGCTCCGTTACTATAGCAACAATCCTGATACTTTTGATCAGATTTGTATCTTGTAACCATTACTCTGATCATTTAGTTATTGACTTGTACTTTCAAGTTATCATTTGATGATTTTTCAAATCTTTCTTCTTTATTGAAATCATCTCTTGGGTTTAATACAAATAAGAAAGCTGATGATTTCAGCATTAGGCTTTAAATTGCACATTTTCTGTCTTCAACTTTTGGCAAGAATGATAATTCATCTTTGAACATACCTTCTATTTTTTTTTTCTTAAATTATCTTTAATTTGAGAATAATCATAAAGCCTTCACCAATGATCCTTTAGCAGGACCTAAAAAAAAACAAACAAGGAAGAGAAATAGAACATAATATTTTAGATGATTGTATGGTAAGGGAACTCTCTGAAGAAACTATTAATCTTTGATCATATTTACAACCAATTAGCAGACTTAAAATTTCCATTGATTCTTTCTTATTCTTAGATATCTTTATTTGCAGGATTATAAATCTCTTTCAATAAAGAGCTACTTATAACATAATCAATGAGGAAAATTACAGAGTATACCTTCAATTTTATTGACATCTTTATATATCTACCTATCCACATATATATTAATATATAAGCATATAAATACACACATAAAATAAGAAAACATACATATATGCATGTCTTGCTCAATATATATATAAAAATATATAAAACTTTTACTTGAAATATAAGGACTTTCCCATCAATTTTATGCCAACTTGAGACATGTATGGCCAATAGTTATTAAAAGGCAGTCGCCAACAGCTAATTAAGGCAGAAGATCAATAATTTAAAAAAACATATGAATAGAAGAATGGCCATTTTGCTTGATCAGTCAATGTTCTTTCATTTGTTTAAGAAAATTCTGAGGTGAAAACTGCCATTTACTCAAAAGGATAAGTTCAATGATCAAAGGGATATATATATATATATATATGCACACAGCAAAGGAGTGTTTTTTTTTGTTTTTGTCTCCTTGTTTTATTTTTCCATTCTTTGTCTTGAACTTATTTCATATGCCTTACATTTTCTTGGTTATTTCATATCACTGAGCTGTTTAAATATAGTGTTAGTTTCATTGTATTATTTTATTCAAATAATTTTCTTTTTATCATATAGTCCTACTTTACTTTGCTTTACTTTTATCTGAATTTTGACTATATCTTTTGTTATTCCTTTTATATTATAGGAATATTTGTTGTTGCTTTTATATTACGGATCTTTTATAGATTTTTTGTAACTTTTATATTATAGGACTTTTTTATCTTTATATTATAGGAATGAATTTTATTACTTTTATAGACATTTTTATTGTTACTCTTATATTATAGGAAAGCTTTTTAGAACTTTTTGCATTATAGACATATTTATTGATAATTCTATATTATCGGAGCATTTTTTATTAACTTTATATTACCGGACTTTTATAATCTGGGAATGTTTTTGTTACTTTATATTATAGAGATTTTATTATTATTCTTATATTATTGAAATCTTTTTTATAACTTTTTTTATTATAAACATTTTTATTGTTACTTTTATACTATAAGAATGTTTTAGTTACTTTTATGTTATACAATTTTTTATATTACAGACATCTTTAGTCTTACTTCTATATTATGAGTGGTTACTTTTACTTTTATTTCACTAAGTGTTGACTTCTAATGTTCACTTTATATATATATATATATATATATATATATATAAATTTAGTGAGTTAGATGGTTTTACCCAGGTTTTCACCTAAACGGATTGTCATGGGAAGCTTTCCTGACGATCCGTTTAGTTGAAACCTAGGTAGGTTTGTCTGGCTCACTAGGTTTATCTAGGTCTTCTACGGTTGTATTGAGCTCTTTTGTTAGTTAGTTGTTTACTCGTGTCGGGGTTTTTTCTTTGGGCTTCAAACCTGTATCTGTGTGATTTTTTTTTCGACAGACTTTCATGTTTCTAGCTTTTCTTTTTTAAAACCTTCTTTTTTTTTTTTTGAGATTGATTTGATTATTGGCAAATCAAAAATTCAAAGGTTTTTCAAAAAACGAGTATAGTTATATATATATATATATATATATATATATATATATATATATATATATATATATATATATATATAAGCATGTTTCATTAAATAATATAGACATATTATGTCCATTTATTTTTCTAATCTTCCTAGTTCTATAATTATCTTCTTGATGTTAAGTTGAAATTCATCAAGGAAGGCACTATATTTATTGTTAACCCAAGTAGTTTCAATTTCCTCCAAGATTATCCTCAGGAGTGAATTGTGTAGACAAACTTAATGTAACTGTAATCATTGTGATAATGACTTTTGTATGCACGCATGAATGCTCTCTATCATAATTATTTTAAAATTAACCATTGTAGTTACAATGTTTTGTAAAGAAGCATTCCTAATGCAAGGCGATAACCAGAGATGGTAAACTGCAAAATGGTGTGGAATGTTAATAAACTCAAATGCATTTTAAAACATTGCTACTACACTTATAATTAATTATGTTCAGTGTTGGTTGGTTGCTTTTGATATAGAGGACTTCAAGAATTTGAAGTTTTTGTTTATTATTTTCACAATGTAGTATATTAGTTCTTTCAAAAAGTATTTTCCTGTATTGTGAAGGTGAACAAGAATGTATTTTTAAATGTTGTGTGATAGAAATTGTATCCGACAAATAGAGTGTAAGACATCTTGATAATTTTGTTGCTGTCAAGCCAACATATGTACTTACTTTTTTGTCAGAGGTACAATCTCCCAAAGGACACTTAGATTGATGTACAATGATGGTCTTTTGCAGAAGATTAATTGACAGAGAAGAGTTATTGTAGATGATTAAGTTGGTTGTATTAAATTTAGTGTAGTGTATAATTAGTTTTATTTTTTTAATGGGATCAGTGGGGGATATATAAGTAATTATGAGATTTTTTATGATTTTTTCATCTTGTTTATAATTAGAATGCATTTGGTTATGATATTGTAGGTTGATATGTTTAGGGTTATTTGAGAAAGTATTATGTTCTTTTTGATTTATGTTAATATTTCTAATGGCTCATCTAATTTGTTCATCAAATATGTAATTAGGAAAGTTATTATTAATGAGAGTTTGTTTTATGTTTTTAATTCAGTGTAGAAAATTTTCTTTGTGGAAGAGTTATTTTTACATGGTTTTATTTATATATATATATATATATATATATATATATATATATATATATATATAAATGAGAGTCACTCTGAAAATAATGTTTCCTATATTAATATTATGATCCAAATCACAGGCCAATGTTGATGTAAAAATAGAGGTTGAAACTTTATGTGAATCACCCATAATTTTCTTTGTCTTATTAGAAAGAGCAGCTGTCTGGCAAAACAGGGTCTGGCATGAAAGTGCATGTGGAATCAGAGGTGTATCATTGAATTCCTCTAGGCTGAAAATTTTTCAAAAATTTTAATTCAATGCTGGGTATTTACATTGACCAAAGAGTGGATGTGAGCACAGTTGATGGGTAATTTGTTTTAGCAGTTGTGTCAATGATGTGTGCAGAGTGACTGGTGGTCATTATGTATAAAATGATATTTTCTAGCAGACAACTTGCTGTATCCAATGGTACTATTATACTCCTTGTATTCATTGTAGTTTCTGTGTAAATAGAGTAAGTTAGTGCATTGGTGCACCTCCAAATATCTTGATGACAAATGCCTGGCAACTGATCTCTACTCTGATCTATCATACACAGCTCAGTGGGGAAAGACTGACTGATATCACTCAATAATTCAAAGCTAAACCCATAACAATTCACCACCAATGGGCAGACCTGAAACCTGCAACAATCCTGATGAGTGGCCATACTCTCAATGAAACTCCTTACCTCAAATGCCGACTGGGTGTAAATCTCATGCCTTATCTCAAATGAAATGCATATATTTATACCATCGCAAAAGAGGCTGGAAAAATGGTTAGTTCCTTGTATTACTTCAGAAAATACCAAATTCACACTATCTTTACAAGATCCGATCAAGAATGGAGTATTGCCGCCATATTTGGGCTGCTGCAACTAAATCCCCAATGTTCAGCCTTGACAGTTTAAAAGTGTTTACGCAGCCTTGTTGATGATGAATTACTCTCCACTCTGCAACCCTTATTGCACAGATGAAACGTTGCTAGCATCTTGTTACTCTATCACTATTATTATGGCAGATGTTCAGACAAGTTACATCCCTTAGTTCTACCAGCTCAGACCTTCATAGCCATGCTAATCATGGTGGCAAGCCATCTCCATTCTCTTTGAGTTTCTTTTGATAAGGAACAACTTTCACTCAGACAGCTTCTTCCTTAGAACTTGTTGCTTTCTGAAACTCCCGAGAGAATATTTCCCTGACAACTACACTTGTTTTCTTCCAAGTCTAGGGACAACCAATGTATATCCTCCATGTCTTTATATATATTCACCTTCCCCACTCCTTTACAACATTCTCACTCAATAACCCTCGACTTTGAGTTGACCTTGGTCCTTGCATTGGCTGAACTATCACTAAATAATAAAAAAATCTTTTGGAGCGACAATCGCAACTGAATACGCGCACGCACACACACACACACACACATATATATATATATAGAGAGAGAGAGAGAGAGAGAGACTGTCGAAAGATGAAATTGAAGCATGAAACTGACGGTCACAATGCAATGCTGATTCCTTTGTCTACACTGTCTATGTTAATGTCCAAATTTATGTTCGTTCATGATACTCCTTTTCACTCTGACACCTCGTATCAAACAGAACTGCAGCCGAGAGCATAGAGAATTGAACAGCATAGCTTATGGTTTCCACTTTAATGATTTTTCTTTACAGCCATCGCTCTTGAAGGGTCGTTAGTAGCTGCAACAATATCTGAGATGGACACCACCAAGGACAAAATAAACCCTTCCCTCGCAGCCGTCAGTCTTACGCCTATGAAGTCAACAATATCTACGTTCCATAAATATCTACTAACAACTGTACTGGGCGACGAAGAAAATGTTAAGTGATACTTCTGTTTTATAAAAAGATGAAGGTGGAGTGCAGCTGTTAAGTGTTTATCTCAAAAGCCGTGAATTACCACTGACTCATTCTTTCTCATTTAACAGTTGATAAATACGACGAAACAACATTACTTATGATGCTGAATCAAATGCTTTGTTTATTAACCTATTGCGAATTATACCTGTACTTGAGAAATAGTTCAAAATGCGAAGCAAGCAATATTACGAAATAAAATTCTATAAGTTCTAACTGATCGTCAGTTACAGGTGATTGTACACTCTTTACATCTTGTTTGAATGGTGAACAACTTGCAAGAATATCAAGTAGTGTAAATGAAAGGTACTCAACGGGGAAATATTTACAAATATTGTCTTTGGCGAAGTTGACATGCAAAAAAATGGATCCCGAGAACAATGTAAAAATGTCTAAGATTCTGAGAGTTGTGTGAAATAGTTGTCTGTGCACCATTGATACCGGATAAATTGACAGCAGGTAGAGATTGATCAAAGTATATTTGAACGGCAACCTTTCTTTTAAACATCTTTCGTTAAACATGAGGGACAAAGAAAATTTAATTCATTTTTTATTTAGTTTTTCCTATTTTCTGGCAGAAAGCTCTTGGGACAATGGATGACATGGACAATTTTTGCACTCCCACACTCTTACCAAACGGAAAAATGTAAGTACGTTGGAAAAACTAAATAAAAAATTAAACTTCTTTGTTCTTCATAGTTAACTATATATGTGCATGTTTCATTAAAAACGACAGGAAAGGTACTACGATTCAGCTTTTTATTTAATTTTTTTTTGTTCAAATAAGTGCTTAAATTTAGGTAGAAGATGGCAATTTGGCCCTAGATTCAGGAATTCTATAACACTAAACATACACGCAACGCACACATTCAATTAAACTGAATAAATAAAATCATCCTTGATAATGCCTAAAAGTATAGCCGAAAGCGCTCGGAATTATAAAACATTTGGTCAGTTTCTAGTCATAGATTAACAGATGACCAAAAACAATTCCTAAATCTAAGGCCAAATTGCCATCTTCAACTTAAATTTAAACACTTGTTCGAACACAAGAAAAATTAAATAAAAATCTCAATCGTAGTACCTTGTCTGTCGTTTTTAATGAAACATGCATAAATGAAGGATTGTTGCCTAAATACATACATATATATATATATATATATATATATATATATATATATATATGATTAATATGAGTAAAACTGATAGATGTCACCTTCAGCATCCCGACTCCACAGTTTCGTAGGCGGACCTATGCGTCCACTCTTCAAGTGGTATCAGCAATTTACTATATAAATTAATGTAAATGCAGGATAGATAAATATATGCATACGTACCCGTGCATAGACGTGTATATACATATATATGTGTACATGCATGTATAGACTAAAATAATTGTTTTATGGAATTTCGTTTGGTTAAGTGCATATCGGAGGTACGGTGGAGTAAGCGGCTCGGATTGAGGAATCGGAGAGCCGAATCCATTACATTCACTTACGTGCTAATATTCTTGGGAAAAGGTATGAATCTTCTTCTTCTCTACCCCCATAAATAGCAGGACAGACCGGGTTCTATAGCCTAGGATGACAACTGGTCTACCGCAGAAAGAAATGGCAATTTACTGCAGGAAAAAAATCTGCCAAGTCAGTCATGTATTGAAGGATACATGATTGCAAAAGCGTGTATCACGCATGGCATATAACTGACTAATAAGTGCATATGGTGAATATAAACTTATCTGATATTAAGAGTAGCGAAAAATATTTTTAGAAACGATTTTCCGCTTCCACAAGTGGTAAGTCAGACAAATTTTTTGGTGAAGCTTAGGTGTTAGTATAAGTATATGATAGATTTGTCTTTGGTACGCTTGTAGTTTTAGCTAATGGGTTAGTAACGTTATGGGATTAGTAATTTAAAACGATTGAAACGTTTGGATTAAACTATACAAGAAAGAGACCAACTTACCGAGTTAAGAATCCAGTTAACTCGAATCGAAACTGGAGGAAGTAAAAAAAATATCAGTACATAGGAGGGGGCGAGAAAAGCCTTTTTTTTTCATTGGCTGACGCTGACAGACGTATCTAATAAGAACGGTCGGGCTCTTGGTTATGCCGTTATGATTTTGCAATGTCAAGGTGCGTAGCATGACACTTTCAAGGAAGCGGCCTGACTCGTCTGGAGTCAGGTCGGGGTTGCTCTTTGAGCCGATATGATGCAAAACCCGAAATCGACGATGAGGTTAGTGCATCACTGTAGACTACTCTTGATGCATCTAAAAAAATGTATTATGCAACTATAACATCACTACCAATATTAAACACACAATAGCAATAGAAATGACAGAAACTGCAAACTATGCCTAGAAGAGAATTTAGCAATAGTTACCTTTATAAACCAAAGTAAATTATTAAACAATAAAAACGAAATAATGGGGAAATGTAGCGATTTTCTAAGCATAGCTTAGATGTGGCACAAGGCCGAAAGCATGGGGCACCCAGTGAGGATCGAACTCACTACTCATTCGTAATTGTTCTAACGACACAAGCTTACTAACCATTACACCGCCTCGGGGTGCCCTTTTTTTCTAAGCGTAGCTTAGATATGGCACAAAGCCGAAGGTATAGGGCACCCAGTGAGGATCGAACTCACTACTCAGTCGTAATTGTTCTAGCGAGACATGCTTGCTAACCATTACGCCACGCCGAGGTGCCCATAATGGAGAAATGTAGACATTCAAATAAATACCTACTGTGTTACTCAAATACCGATACAAGCAGAGACCTACTGCATACACTCAATCACGCCCAAACAAAAGACAGATGAAAAAAAAAGCATACACATACACAAACAGCTAAGCACACACGCACAAACATCTAAACATGCACATAAGCCTAGCCACGATGTAAAAAATATTAAGCGGACATATCACCAATCACACAATCACCAAGAAACCTCACACTGCTTAAATGATAACACAACAGCCATTATGTGAAAAATCACACACCCATATAAAGATATCAAATTAAATCAAACCATACATAAATACGACAAAATTGAGAAGTAGCAGCAGAGGATCTAAAAATGTTTAACGATGAGAGCTAATTCTGCTAGTCGACTCTCTGTCTCCGGGCAGAGAGGGACCCAGATGAGGTTATACCTACAGGCAGAGTCTCGTCTGGGAGGTAGACAGCTACCCGACCCCGCGTATATGGGGTTAACGGCAATTTTTGCCAGAGCCCACGGGCTCCGAACGCACTGCATAAACCCCCCCCCAAAAAACCCGGCCTTTTGCCACATCCCACATTGTGGAGAGGTCTCAGATAAATGTTGAGAAGCCAAAAGTATCACAAACATCTGAGTTTGAAATACATTGCTTGTTGACCCCTCTGCATTCGGGGCCCAGACGAAGCAATGCCAAAGGGAAGAGTCTTTTCTGGTAAGATAGACAGCTACCCGACCCCGTTATTATGAGGTCGACGGGGAATTTTTACCCGAGGTTGTGGGGAGGATTGAATAAATACCGAGGAGCCAACAGCCCTGATGAGTGAAAGCATTACTGCAAAATGCTCACGAAACTTCGAAGTCGGAATGAATGAATCAACACCACCCTATCAAGTTTCTGTACATTATATATATATATATATATCAATAATTCATCGAGTCTAGAGTCTTGTTATTTTCGAATTAAGCATGTAAATTTACACGTAAATACAACGATTCCAGAAAATTTTATTAGATACTTAGCGCGGGGCTTAGAAAGCAAATTACTCTCTTTTTTTTTTTTTTTTTTTAAACCAGTTAAACCCAAGCAAGGCGATAATGTCTACTAACATACAAGGAGCTACTGGAAGTGACAGGTAACAAAAAGACTTTTAGAAGGAACCGGAAACCCAGTAAAAGAACAAGGAATAAACCTCGACTTTTGTACAAAAGACCGGGGAGGTGTGTGAATCGGACGATAGGTAGAAATATTTAATCCTATTGAGGAGAAAAAAAATCAGAGTTCAGACGGCAGGGGTTAGAAGATTTAAAATAAACTTTATAAGGAACCGGAAGCCCAATTCTAAACAGGAAACAAGAGATAAACCGCTACTACTATTCATGATACCGGGATATTTATTTTTACTGGGAAATACACTATTTGGTTTCAGTGCGAAAATGAAAGAAAGAAAGAAAGAAAGAAAGGTGATATGTGCGGGAAAGGGATATATTTGTTCGAAGTAGCCAAGTGGTTGTTGACTACTGTAACCGAGTAGGACAATCTAGCAGGTAACCGTAATGGACTGGTCATCGTCGTAGTGGTAGGCAATAGGCGTAAGCAATAGGCGAAGACTATAGGCGTCGTCCTTGTACCTCCACATCAGTCTGTATTTATGGCTGACACCAGCCAATCATATTACTGTGAGGGGGAACCCAGGTGTATGCATATTCATTACACCAGAAGGAAAGAAAGAATGGACGAGAGAAGTAATTAACGTATCCTGCCAATACCTCATAGATAATGGACTATTCCATTTTGATTGCGTGGCGAGAGGAGAAAGTACACTACATAGTTTCATTGAAAGAAAGAAGGGAATATAGAAGTGTTTAACAGCTGTTTCAGGGAAAAGTTGTTAAATTCAAATCTTTTCATTTGTACCCACTTCTTAAAATAACGACCAACATTCATATTTATGATTCTTATTGCAGTTTTTTTGTTAAAGTTCAATCAGTCAGTCAGTCATGTGCCTTGCGTGATGCACCCTTAGGTGATCATATATCATTCGATACATGACTGACGTGGCAGATTTTTTCCCGCAGTAGGTTGCCATTTCTTTCTGCGGTAGACTAGTTGCCATCCTGCTATTTACCCATAGCTGTGGGGAGAAGAAGAGAATTCATGCCTTCCCCAAGGCTATTAGCACGTAAGTGAATGTAATGGAGTTGACTGGAATTCGAACTCGGCTCTCCGCTATCCATTACTCCACCGTACCTCTTGTTAAAGTTGTTAAGCTCAAATATTTAACGATGCAGTAGGTGAATTTCTACGGATATTTTATTGTCACAGAACTCGCCATGAACTTATTTAATCATTAACTTATTAAGATTCAGCAGAATATCAAAATAGGAAAACCGTGAAATTTTTACGGGTTAAAACTAGTAAATGAGAATTTTCCATCTTAGAAATTCAGACAGAAGTTATAGCATTATTCTCCTTTAAGCTAGTAATGTGTGAATTTGATGCAATAAAAATCTATCGACATCTTTACAAACGATTCTAATATTTAAGTATCATCCTAAGGATTTAAATCTTACCAGTCGTTCTTTTTCCCCTTATTTTTTGTAAAATTAATTCGATATTTCCGAAAGTTTTCTTTCGTGTATTATTAAATCTTTGGCAATGCATACTTTGTATCAAAAAAAGTTTTTGTGACGTCAGGCAGGCCCGAAGAAAAATAATAAATATAGAAACACGGATACGCGTCGCTATTTGTTGTTATAGATCTGAATGAAATGTGAATATCAATTTCCTTGTATTTTTCAATGCCATTGTAAAGTTAGTTTATTCTGACTGCAAATTCATTCTTTGAGATTGAAAGTGTGACAGACCGCCCGCTGGTTTATCTGATGATAACTCAATGTTTACAGATCGAACTATATTGAACTTCAAATGATCAGATACAGTGAAGAAAGAAACTCTTTGCAATGTAAACTCTATAAAAATAGCATTCGTAACCAAAAGGCTTGAACAACAGTGGCAAACTTCTCCGAAATCAAAAAGTTCCTGGTGCGTATTTTTGGCTTCGGGGGCAAATTCTATGGATATTTGATATAAGAATTAGTATTTGGTCTATCGGTGCTTGTGATTGTGGATCTCTTTGTGTTGCTTCCCCGAGAGGAAATTCAGGTTACAATAATGAGGAGAAGGCCTTGAAATACATCCTCTACCCACTGAGGACAATGAGTGAGATCACCACCCAGAGTTAAAGGATCCCACTCAATACAAATAGCTCACAGGACAACCACCTGGATTTTTCGAAGATGGGAAATATAAAATCGAAAAAAAGCAGATACTGGGTTCGGATCCTAAAAAAAGAAGATATTTGTGTACGTGGATTTGCGCGCGCTCAAGCGACTGCCGATTGGAAACTAAGTAAGCACGTATTTAACTGTATGTAAGAGAAGGTGCCGAAAAATCCTCGGCCTAGGCAAGAAGGACCGGACCGAGAACATTTCGGCATCCATCGTATATCTATCTATCTATCTGTAGATTCTTTTACGTTCATTCCATCTATGTATAAGAAAATATTTATCTACCTATCAATCTATCTACCTATCGCCATATTCATTTTTTACTTTCTATCAGCATATTCTGTTTCTATCTTTATAATAATATATTCATTTTCTATCTATCTATCTTAATAACCTATCAATCTTTTAGCATATACGTTTCTTTAGATCTATCTATAAGTATATTCTTTTTCAGTGTATCTATATCTCAGGATATTCTTCATTCCTATCTATCTGTCAGGATATTCTTTTTCTTTCTATCAGGATATTTTTTCTCTCTATATCTATCTATAAGGATATCCTTTTTCTTTTTATCTATCTATCTATCTATAAGGATATCCTTTTTCTTTTTATCTATCTATCTATCTATAAGGATATCCTTTTTCTTTTTATCTATCTATCTATAAGGATATCCTTTTTCTTTTTATCTATCTAAATAACCTATTAGTCTATCAGCATATACGTTTCTTTAGATCTACCTACCTATCATTCTATCTACTAATCTATCTATCTATCCATTTATCTATCTAGTGTGATAGATTTTGAAAGATTTGGTAACCGCTAGTTGGAGAGTGAGATAATAAATTAAAATTTTTTAGTGAGCTTGACTAAATGGAAGGCGGAACAGGTTTTGGGAGAAAGAGTAAAAAGACAAAATTTTTGGAAAAATGATGATCGTCTACGTCCCGAGGGGTCACGGCACATGAAGAAAAAGAAAAGAAATTATATATTTCTTAAAAGATGCTACTTATCATTACCTTGACAGAAAACAATCTCTGTTATCATATATATATATAACAAACCAAAGTATTGGTAAAACCAACACAGCCTGCAAGTGGCAAAAAGATGAAGAAAAAATAATAAAAATAAAAACAAAACAAATCGAAAACCAAGAGGAAAATCGATGAAAAGGTTAAAAGGTCACATAAACTAAGACCAAAAGACAGACACCTACCTAAAAAGTAATATAGAGTTCTCTCTGTGTGAATTTCCAAGACAAAGCAATTACTCCACCCAGCGACATGACTCAAAAAGAGTTAAAGTTCAAACCGCTACTATGTTTCACGCGATCCTCAGGCGAACGCGTTAGTGTGAAACTCAAGTAGTGGTCTGACCTTTGTCTCTTTTTCAGTCGTGTGGCTGGATAGAGTATATATATTCCAAATTTATTTAATTACATATTTCTACTCGATTACCATCAGTGAATCAGTTTATAATTCGTGAATATATATAATATATATATATATATATATATATATATATATATATATATACCGAGTGTAACAGCAAAATTGTCCAAATCGTGTACCAGCATAACTGTCTATTTCACAAAATGTTTAATATATATATAAAATAATTGTTTTCTTTTTTCCAGGTTTTCAGATAAGACTTTTAGCCATCTTGGCACCATTTGTCGTAAGAATCACTGAAAAACCATTTTAGTCATTCAGCTAGAAAGAGAACAGGTTAAATTCGTTTTGTGTCAGGCCCCCTGCTACACAAATGAGCAATGGTGACAGGAAAAAGATCATTCAGGTCTTCAGTAATGCTACCAACATTCACACTCTGGATTCCATCTTCAAAATAATTCATCAAGCATCGAGAGAACGGTGAACAAGTTTAAAAAATAGGGAACAGTAGAGAGGAAAACTGGATCAGGAGGTCACAACAGGATCATCATTTCGACTTAAAGCTAAAGAGAAAAATTAGAAAAGATCCAGTTCAATTTATAAGACGTTTGACATGTAAGAGAGGACTTTCAGCTATGACAATCCAAAGAGCAGTGAAAAAAGACTTAAAAATGAAATCGGACGTGAAACCTGTGAGGCAACGTGTTACTCCAGGACAAAGTTAGGTTAGAGAGGGCGAGGATCATCTTGAATAAGGTGGAAAATGACTCTGGAATTATAAACACACACACACACACATATATGTTTGAACTTTATTTCAATTCTTCATGAGCTTTCGGTCCTTAGCTATGATTAATTAATGACGGACATGTCATTTTCATTTATGATCAATTTCATCACGTTTCTTCCTTTAAGCCTGGAGAGTAATCACACGTTCTTATTGCTCAATGTACAGTTCAATGATGTTATAAAAACCTCGAAACATTCCAGGAAGATATCCTTAATCATTTCTAAGATACAACGGTTAAAATCTTAATCTACCAATTGGACAGTTTTGCTGTTACACACGGTATATATATATATATATATATATATATATATATGATCAGAGAAAGTCAGCTGCACTTCCATGTACACATAACGGGGAAGTAGGGCTTGGAAAACTTAACCCGCACGGGGAACATTAATGGCAAGCGAGTTAGGGGAAGTTAGCGAGCCACTTACCTGTCGAGTTTGTATGAATGTGGGGCTAAACCCAAGGTGGGGAGAGGACTTAGCAATGTAATAAAAACTGTTAAGAGCCACATAGGATAGGAAGTTGTGGTCATCCATGATCGCCTATATCCTTACGGGTCGCGACACATATCAGGTCATCCCATAAGTTCTGTCCGAATTTTAACATTTTGTTAAAATGAACGAAATTTAAAGAGTATTTTATAATGTCTAATGGAACTGAACATTATTTTTATGTTTAGATGCATTTAAACTGATCAAATTTTATTTCAGAGAACAATAAAATTAAATTTTGTTTGATTAAAACCCTACTAACATGGAAGTACCCAAGAATCACTTGAGGCACATAATGCTTTATGAGTTCAAGAAAGGAAACTCAGCAGCCGAAGCGGCTAGAAACATTCACTCAGTTTATGGAGAGGAATGTGTGAATGCAAGAACTTGCAGAAGATGGTTTGTAAAATTCAGAGGTGGAGATTTCACCCTTGAAGATGAAGATCGAACCGGATGTCCAGTTGAGTTTAATGAAAAGCTTCTTGAAGCAGCCCTTGAAGAAAATCCTGCTTTATCAGTTGAGGAATTGGCAGTGGTTCTCAGTTCAAACCACACAACTGTTCATCGTCATCTTCAACAGCTTGGAAAAGTTCCTAAACTTGAAAAATGGGTGCCTGATGAATTGTCTGAAAACAACCTCAAATCCCGAGTTGACATCTGCTCTTCTCTCCATTCTCGCCAACTTGTTTCACCTTTTTTGGATAGACTTGTGACTGGCGACGAAAAATGGATCTTTTATCGAAATGTTAAGCGTCGTAGACAGTGGCTTGGTAAAGGGGAAGGACCCTAGCCACAGCCTAGATGGGAACTTTATGGGCAAAAGGTTCTTCTTTCAATCTGGTGGGATCGCCAAGGAATAATCCACTTTGAATTCTTACCACCTAATGCAACAATTAATGCTCAAATATACTGTCAACAATTAGAGCGTTTGAACCAAGCTTTGAGGAAAAAAATGACCTGCTCTAGTGAATCGAAAAGAGGTGATGTTTCATCAAGACAATGCGCGACCCCACACAGCAAGAATCACGTCACAAAAGATCGAAGAACTTGGTTGGGAGAAAATTCCGCATCCACCTTATTCTCCCGATCTTGCTCCTTCAGACTACCATTTGTTTCGTAACTTACAGAATCATTTAGAAGAAACAGCTTTTGTAACACAGGAAGAGGTTAAAACTGACATTTGTGAGTTCTTCGAATCAAAGCCAAAAGAATTTTACAGTAATGGAATTAGTAAGCTTGTTAATAGATGGAAGGATGTCATAGATAATCAGGGAAAATACATTTGTTGATTGAATCTGTAATTAAATGTAACATTTGGTCACTTGTTTTCTTTATTCAAAATTCGGACAGAACTTAGGGGATGACCTGATAGAAGAAGGTAGGTTGCTCAACTAAGACGTATACTATAAAACGCTTATTAGAAAGTTAATCTCGTAAACTTTTGTAACGAGCTCGAGTCCCTTGGGCGCATTCGGTTAGGATCGTTATAGTGTACCTACCAGCAAGCTAGTCGAGCAGGTAATTTTAGGAAGAATATTAGAATAATCCAGAACTTCTCCAGGAAGCAAACCGCCTGCATATAGACAGATAGTAAATATACAAATATAGAAATGGGCGCAAGACAAGGGTGTGTTTCTTTGCCGAACTTATAGAATTATTCAACCTTTATAGCGAAGCCATCCTTAGAGCATTTGAAGTCCTACCAGGATTAATTATTAGTAGCCATAATCTTAACAACATTAGATATGCAGATGAAAGTGTTGATAGAAGGTACAGAAAGGAAACTACATGAATCTCTAGAGAATGTAGTAAAGGAAAGAGAGAAGAAAAGATGAACCATCGTTTGTTTTGCAATCCGTCACACGTACATAATACAAGTAATAACAAAAAGACTTCAATGTAAAATAATAAAGTATTTAATTACCAAACACAATTAAAATACATTAACAACAAAGAAGTAAAGAGTCAACGGAAAGATTATTGATTAATTATCAGTTAATACACGACTGCGTAGAGTTGCTAAAAAAGTACTAATTCTTCTTGAAACACGTGACACTCAACTTTAACGTTCGGTTTAACACAATAGTCAAACACATAATTGTAACCACCAGTCAGTGGCATGATATCTCTATTTATAGAAAATGTCGGTCTACATTTTCATTGTATAGAGATTCACGTTCAAACTCTGGTGTCAGCTGTGAACTTTTCATTCGTATATGATAATTTGTAAGAAGTCAGGATGTATAATTGTCGGCAAAATAAACAGCACAAGATGCGAAGTACGAACTGAAGACGCCAAATCCAAGCAAATACAGAAATTTTAATATCTGGGATGTTTTTTTTAACAGAGGACGCAAAATGCGGCATCGAAATCCGAATGCTTATTGGAATAGCGAAATATGGCATTCAAAAGCTAAGCAAAGTATTATGAAAGAGGAAATTCCCGTTAGAACAAAGAAAAAAGTGCTGAATTGTTATTGAATATCAGTATTTATATATATGTTACTGAATATTGGATAATCTCCTCACAGGTAAAGAAAAGACATTTATGGAAAGTGGAAACAAAAACGACACTTATATTTTGAAACAAAAATAGACAAACATCATAGATGTGGTTCTACAGAAGGATATTGAAAATGCCATGGATAGATCATATTAGCAAGTTTTAAGGAAAATGGAAACAAAAAGGACACTTATACTTAGAATCAGAAAGACGCGGTTGAAATTTCTTGGCTACCTATTTTACATATCTATGAAGCGAAAGAAAATCTACTGAAAAGGATGTGAAAATTCGCATAGTTAAAGCCTGGACCGCCTTGAATAAAATGGATGTAATCTTGAAATCTGATCTACCAGACAACCTCAAACGGAGATTCGTTCGAGCCACTATAGAGGCGGTGTTAATATATAGTGCCACTGTTTGGACATTAACTAAAATCCTAAAGTCTAAGCTTGATGGAACCTACAATCAGATGTTAAGAGCTATACTTAACATCTTTTGAAGACAACATCCAACTAA